AAAAAAAAAAAAGCACCTACCCTCAACATCAGAAGCTTGGTACCGACATTTCAAAAAAAGAAAAAAAAAATCACCTACCCTCAACATCAGAAGCTCGGTATCGTCGACCTCCCTTCCATTAATAAATGCTCCAGTCCTTCCTCCACTGCACCAAACAGCCATACGAGGACCCCCAATCTCCAGACCGGGGGGAAGAATCGTCGCCCATCGGCTTCCTTCCTTGCCCCACAGGCCTGATAGACGGTCGTACCAGTAATAGCCAGGCTTCAACTGTACATCATTTGATCTGGATGCGTTACGCTGAAGCCAATCTAGTTCTTTCTGCGAAAGTTCCTTGCCATTCACAAAGATCCTGGTGGATTTCTTAACCTCCTCCGTCGCGTTGCCGCCATTGCCGCCATCTCTACGGACACGAGCCGCATTCTCGTCGTCGTACCCCATTGGCTCGAGAATAGTTCTCAGTGCACCCGTGGACTTGCCTCGTCGATGCCACTCGCGTGTTCGCGACACCTTTCTGCTGCTGCTCCCTACATCTGTCCCGCCACTCCCCACGGATTGTACACTCGCCCCATTCCCGCTGTCCCACTTGCCCAAGGCACCTGTCTCTTCTTCCGCTGCTGTCGAACCAAACGCCCCGGCCGACTCACCGCTGCCGCCACTGCTCCTTGTCGTCTCTACAACCTGTTCATTCTTCTCCTGCCGATCATGTGCTCCAGATTTCTGGCCATCGAGCTCCTCGCTCTCGCCTGCGTCTCTCGCCTCATCGCTGCTGCTTCCATCTTTTTTCTGCCCTTCGGAAATTTCAACGTTACGAACAGGCTTGGCAGATATAAGCGACGTCAGGTACCCTTTGCGCTTTGATTTCTTCACCCCTTCGTCACCTACTTTTCCAACACAGGCCTGACACCGCTTTCCCTCTGACATTGCAACGTCAGCACAGCCTCGACAGTAAAGCTTCCTGCGCAATGAACATGGGAAATCAATCATCAGCCAGTGCAACAGACTCAAAGCCCATCAGAATGAATGAAGTACAAGGCAACATGGGAGCAGTCGCCATCGGCAAAAGGCATCATAGCTGCGACTTCGCTAAAAGCCTGAAGCTGAAATTTTCATGCAAATCGGGAAAAAACGCACAAAAAAATAATGAACGGCTGCGAGGGAGTTCGATCATACAAATGTTCAGGCCGGACTGAAGGCGGCCTGGGGGGGTGGGGATGGGTGGGGTGGTTGTCGGATGGAGGACCTCCTCAATGCCTTATGCATGAAGCCTCTGGGAGCCTCGCTCCACAACACAGCACTCTACATGCATGTGGACATTCTGGACCAGGTGCATTTGGACGAGTGCAACATTTTAAATGTATAGGGTCCCCAAGAGCATCCAAATGCATGTATAGAGTCTTGTGTAGTGGAAGAAGTCCAAGAATCTATAACTGCAATCTGATATTTTACTGTTTTTGCCATTGAAACCGACTGCGCCGAGTCTGTTCAGAGCACACAGCCCTGCTGCTTTAAACGCTCTTTTAACTTTTTCAAAGTAACAGCGTCGGCTCTGGATGCTGGCCACAAGAGAGTATCTTCCTCTGCTTTCTTCTCTTCTTCGTCCCTCTACTCCTCGTCTTCTTGCTCCTCTTCCTGCTCCTGCCCTCCTACTCCTCTCGGTCCTCAGTTTTTCTGTTGAATGCACAACCATATGACACACTGAACATAACCTAACCTTTTCCGCCTCCTTCTCCTCACCCTCCCCTTCTTTCTCCTCCTCTTCCTCCTCTTCCTCCTACTCCCCTTCTTTCCCCTCTTCCTCCTCTTCCTCCTCTTCCTCTACTCCTCTTCTTTCTCCTACTCCTCTTTCTCCTCCTCCTCCTCCTCCTCCTCTTCTTTCTCCTCCTCCACCTCTTCTTTCTCCTCCTCCTCTTCTTTCTCCTCCTCCTCCTCTTCCTCTACTCATCTTCTTTCTCCTACTTCTCTTTCTCCTCCTACTCTTTCTCCTCCTCTTCTTCTCCTCCTACAACTCTTCTCCTCCTCCTCCTCCTCCTCTTGTTTCTCCTCCTCCTCTTCTTTCTCCTCCTCTTCCTCTTCCTCCTCTTCCTCTACTCCTCTTCCTCCTCTTCTTTCTCCTCCTCCCCCTTCCTCCTCTTTCTCCCCCCCCCCCCTCTCTTCTTTCTCCTCCTACTCCTCTTCTTTCTCCTACTCCTCTTCTTCTCCTCCTCCTACTCTTCTCCTCCTCCAACACCTCCTCTTGTTTCTCCTCCTCCTCTTCCTCCTCCTCCTCCTCCTCCTCCTCCTCTTCCTCCTCCTCTTCCTCCTCTTCTTCCTCCTCCTCCTCTTCCTCCTCTTCTTTCTCCTCCTACTCATCCTCTGCATGGAGAAGAACTTCAGGCAAAGGGACGAAGCAAAGGAGGGTGCAGTTGCAAGGGGGACAGGAGGCGGCTCGGAGCTGCAAAGGGAAGGAGGTTGGGAGAAGGCAGAGGAAGGGAGGAAAGTGAAGGACTTGCAGTACGGGGTTCGCTTGGGAAGAAAACGTATACGAACAAGAAAACGGAGAAGGTTCAGGGAACCAGGGTAGGAATGTTCAAAGAATGCACCAAGACAGGTTCTCCAGATGAGAGGCAAGAGGTCCAGATCCAGAGGATGCATGGAAGAGGGATTTCTTTCAGAGAATGTGCCAACACAGGGTCAGAGGGAATCGACGGCCAAACCGTTTGTGCAGGCAGGGGTGGAGGGGACGGTTCAGTTTTCTTGCAGGGTCAATTGTGGGTCCCTCCGGGGAGCAGGCGAGGAAGGGAGGAGGGAGGTGAGGTGGGGACTGGGGGCCCAGATGAGAAGATCGCGGAAAGGCAGTGGGCAGAGTGCTAACGCAATTGCTGAAGAGGTTTTGGGAAGGATGTTACTCCGTGGTCATGTCATTCCTTCGTCACACTCATTCTTTTCCTCCTCTTCACACTCCTCCTACACTCCCTCTCAGACTCTTCCTCTCTTCCTCACCTTCCTCCTCTTCCCCCTCTTCCCCCTCTTCCCACTTAACGTCTTTCCACTCCTTTCTGATTCTCTTCGCCCTCTCCCCACACACCTCCATGGTCATCTCATCCTCTCTTCACATACTCTTCCTCCTCCTCTTCTTCACACTCTTCCTCCTCCTCTTCACACTCCTCCTACCACCTCTACTCACTCTCCTCTTCCTCTTCCTCCCCTTCGTTACCCCTTCACCTCTTTCCACTCCTCTTCTCTGCTTCTTGATGGTCCTTTCCAGAACAACCCCCTTCCCCCYTCCCCCCCCCCCCCMCCCCTTCCGTCTCGAATTTTCTCCATCTACCACACTCCTCCTCACTCTTCGCTGCCGTTGTCCTCTTCGCTTGTTCGTCTCTCCTCCTTTCTTGTGCAGGGGTGGGAAGATAAGCAGAGAGAGAGGGACAGAGAAGGGAAGGAGGAAAAGGAGGTGAAGCAGCGGGTATCGGTCCCTACTTTTCTTTCGGAAATATTTTCAAATACTAATAATGGTGACGCTGCCAACATAATTAAGGGGTCAAAAGGCAAAAGGTGGTGCACAGAGGAGGAAGACTCTGAACAAGCAGCAATAACTGGATTGCATATCGGCACAAGTGTGGCGGTATGACGAGCAAGGGGGGTTGATGGGAGGGGGGGGACCACATGAAAGAAGCGAGAAGATGAAGAAATCGAAAGGAAGGTGAACAAGGAGGAGCAAGAAGCGAGAGGAGGACGCCGGTCTTTCTCCGAGAGGAGAGAGATTGGGAGGAGGAGGAGGAGGAGGAGGAGGAGGTGGCTCGTCCCTCCTCCTCCTCATCTCAATTAAGAGTTCTGTCACAGCATCAACCCCCTCGCCCTCTTCTCCTCCCCTCCTTTTCGCCCCTTTCGCCGTCTCGCCTCCTTGGTTCAGTGAGAGAGCCGATACAAAAGTTAGCAGTACATTGATTTCTCCTCTGCCAAGCGTTCAGTCTTCCAGAACAAATGCGAGAGTGAAACGGGAGTGGAACAGAATGGACGGCTGCCTGCTTCAAGAGATTCCCGGAAAACAGAGGGGATAGTTTAAAGGAGAGCAAGCAAAGCGGAGAGATCTAGAGAGGGAGGGAGGGAGGGAGGGAGGGAGGGAGGGAGGATAAAAATGAGGACAGGCAACAAACGAGAAGCAGGAGGCGAGGGAGATCGGTGGAAAAGCGAGGCCAAGGACACGGCATAGAAACGAATCCAAACGGACAGACAGCGAGAAAGGAGAGATAAGAAGCACAGAGGGACCAGTGAGGGAGTAAGGAGCACAGGGAGAAATGAAAGGAGAGTGGCCTGGGAAAGAGATATGAAGCATTGCCAGGTAGGATAGGGGAAAGAGATACACAGAGGCACAGTCAGACAGACATATAGACAGATAGATGGATAGATAGATAGATAGAGCGGTAAGGGGGAGAGAGAGAGAGAGAGAGAGAGAGAGAGAGAGAGAGA